TTGCTGAGTATAAAGAGATGATTGCACATATGCTTCCAGGTTGGCCTTGGGGACTGCCCCACCCTTGGAGACTTAACCCCTGGGTCATAACTTTGAAATGGTTGATACCCCCATCCCAAAACTATAGATACAATTGTTGGGCATAAAGAGACGAATGCAGTCATGACATTAGAATTGATCCCAGGGTCTGCCCCACCCTTGCAGACTTAGCCCCTGGGTCATAACTTTGAAACGGTTGAGATCCCCACCCCAAAACTATATATACAAATGCTTGGCAAAAAGAGACAAATGCAGTCACGATATTAGAATCGATCCTGTGGTCTGGCCACAACTCTAGGGACCTAGTTTCTGAGTCAAAGCTTGGAAACAGGTAAGATCTCCACCCCATAACCATACATAAAATTGCTGGGCATCTAATATAGCTATGCTACAAGGATTGGCCTTGGGGTCTGGCATATTCCCTTGAACTCATTTGGAGAATAGTTTGCCATGATTGCTTAGGTATCCAGGTGAGCGATACAGGCCCTCTGGGCCTCTTGTTCTCCGAAACTGTGCATTTTTAACTTTACTTATAGAACGCTCCAAGTGCGTTCGTTTATCGTGGAATATTTCTGCACCACACGTACCGTTTCCACCGGGATACGCGAATGTAGACTAAGTAACAAGGTTTCAGCTATGCCTTCATTCCAGTTTATAAAGAGGATTATAAGGAGGATTATAAGGAGGAAATGTTACTATGATGATGCAATAACTAGTCATGTACACTTAACTTTGCAAAGGATCTATCACTTCCATTTCATTTTCAAATTTTACAGAGTCTAATTTCATAATTCACAATTCTATAGTCACCAAATATTCTAAATAAAATTGCTGTTTAAACTTAGCATGATTTTAATTAATCAGACAATTAATGCTAGATGATGTATATGGTAAAACCTTCCATCAGTAAGAGTGATATCAGTAAGAAAAACTTGATTTGAAGTTGACTGTTGTTGAAAGATAAATACTGGTAACATTTATATCTATGAATTGTTTCCTCTCACAGTCAGGATTCCTGGTGGAGGAGGGTGCCCTACCCTGGGAGGTAGACCAGGTGATGGAGGACTTTGGGATGCCTATGGGACCCTTCAAAGTCCGAGATTTGTCAGGTAAGGTCATTCTGTATGTCTGACCCCACTTGAATGACAGCCAATACAGAAGTCTGGTGAGAGGTAGATACCTCTGACTCAAATTCATTGACAGGTCAATCAGTTGTCTTGTGAATGGTAGATACCCGACCTCTGACCTCTGACCCGAATTCATTAACATGTCAAACAGCTGTCTGGTGAGTGGAAGATACCTGACCTCTGACCTAAATTCATTGACATGTCAAACCCTGACCTCTGACCTGACTTCATTGATGGATCAAACAGCTGTCTGGTGAGTGGTAAATATGTACCTGACCTCTGACCTGACTTCATTGACAGGTCAAACAGCTGTCTGGTGAGTACCGGTAGTAGATATGTACCTGACCTCTGACCTGACTACTTTGACAGGTCAAACATCTGTCTGATGAGTGGTAGATACCTGACCTCTGACCTGACTTTATTGACAGGTCAAACAACTGTCTGATGAATTGTTAATATAGACCTCATTGGAGTGACTGGTCACACAGATGTCTGATGAGTGACCTTTGACCTCACTATAGTGACACGTCACATAGCTTTCTGTTGAACTGTAGATATATCAGCCTTACTTGGGTGACTGGTCACACAGATGTCCTAGGTGTTTGAGCTGTCTTTGATTTACTGGTTATGACTGAGGATAAGTATAAATGTCAGCATCTATCAGGTAAAAGGTCAATTAAATGAAACATCAGATTTGTAGATGTTTCATACTTCATCACAGTGTACATGTGTACTGCCGTTGTTTGTAAAACCAATCAAAAGTACAGTAATAATGCGTTTTCTGAAAGATGCAAATTTTGATTTTTGATTTGTTCTTCATGATTCATTCTTTATGAATGACTACATCATCAGTAGTACATGTACTAAGATTTGAAAAATATGTACATCTTGCACTTACTGTAGAATCATTTATGTTTGTGTGGTTAAAATTTTGTGGTATTCACATACATGTACTAGCCTGTTTCAAGGACATTATGTTTCGCTGAAATCTGATTTTCCCCAAATCATATCATACCAAAATTAAGTTTTCGGGGGGATTTAATTTTGTGGATTTTTGTTATCCATGAAATACACAAAATTTATGATGTCCCACAAAAATTTATGATTTTACAGTAAACATTAACCCATTCACCCCTGAAGACACATTTGAACACTTTCAATTCAAAGGTTGGAATAGTTCACTATGAAATTTCAGGGGTGAATGAGTTAAGTTAGTCTTACTATATTGTTTTTTAACAGTAAGATATCGGAACTAACTCGTTAACCTTTTTTCAGGATTGGACGTGGGTTCAAAAATAACTGCAGAGATTGCCAAGACACTAGGCGTCACTCTGACAGATGAGACCCGCTTCATGGCTGGTAATCGCTACAGTCACATGAACACTGTCCTAGCCAACATGGGCAGACTTGGTAGGAAGTCTGGTAAGCTGCTTTATGTGTTGTGGGGTATTGATGGTCGAACTGAGGAACTGACAACATTATACATAAAAGTTGTTGGAAAATTGTAAAACTTTGATTTACATGCATATATTTAAACAATGTATTTGATATATTCAAGTTGAAATGCAATAAATTGGAATGAAAAAACAATTTGATATCAGAGTTTGTAAATACCTAGCACAGTTGTATTATAGAATATTGTTAGTATTGACAAAATCGAGAAAAAGTCTAAAATAAGGAATGTTCAATAATAAAAGAAGATGCATAGTTATTCAAAAATAAAATATTTGTAAGTGCCAGGAACATGAACTCAAATGAAACCCCAGTGTTTTATTTGATTTATTATTGAGGTGTTAAAAGGAGGTTAATTTATTTGTTTCTCTGCATTTCAGGTAAAGGTTGGTACAAGTATGAGAAGGCAGGAGGGAAGATCGCCTCAATCGATGATGATGTGATTACTGTATTAAACAATCACTGCAAAAAACTGGGGATAGAACGACGCACTATCTCCTCTCAGGTAACGAATCATAATCAATAGGCAACAATGTATCGTGTGTTATATGTGTCATCATATATATATAGTAATAGGGACCAGGTACATGTGTAAATCATTGTTATGATACACCTGAACATTGTCTCTGGTACGAAATTATGTTAAAATGTTTTTCTGCAAATATTACAGAATTTCATTGAGATTTTTAGGTCACCTGAGCTTTAGCTCAAGTGACCTATTGCTATCCGTTTTCGTCCGTCGTCGTCCGTCGTCCGTCGTCCGTTAACATTTTACATTTCAAACTTAAAGTCAAGTTCTGCTGGGCCGATTGAACTGAAAGTTGGTAGGAATGATCGCCTCATGGTCCTGACAAAGTGTTGTTATTTTTCGGGTCGATCAGAAATCCAATATGGCCGCCACGGCCGCCATTTTGAAAACCTATTTCAAACTTAAAGTCAAGTTCTGCTGGACCGATTGAACTGAAAGTTGGTAGGAATGATCGCCTCATGGTCCTGACAAAGTGTTGTTATTTTTCGGGTCGATCAGAAATCCAATATGGCCGCCA